TTTCTGCTTTTGATTCCTTTGGTCATATATCCAGGAATGGAATTGCTGTATGATGTAATTTTATGTTTCATTTTTTCAGGGGGGTACTGGGGATCAAACTCAGGACCTTTTGCTTGCCAGGCAGGTGTGGTGCTGCTGAACTACATCCTTGGATCACTAGGTTTAATTATTTTTGGAAACTTTTTTTTTTTTGTGGTACCAGGGATCAAACTCAGGACCTTGTGCTTGCCAGGCAGGCACTGTGCCACTGAGCTACATCCCTGGCCCTCTCTAATTATTTTTGAAGAACCTGTTTGTTTTTCATAGCACCTGCACCATTTGATATTCCCACCAGCAATGAACAAAGATTCCAATTTCTCCAGATCCTTGCCAATGCTTATTGTTTTCTGGATTTTTTGTTTTTTGTTTTTATATTTTGTAGTAACCATCCTAATGGGTGAGAAGTGGTATCTCACTGTGGCTTTAACCTGCATTTCCCTGATGATTGGTGATATTTAGCATCTGGATATCTTTGGAGAAGTATCTGTGTTAAGTCCTTGCCCATTTTTTATTTGGATTGTTATGTCATTGTTGCCATTGAGATGTGTGTTTACATTCTTGATCCAACAAATACATAGAGTGGTATTAAGGACTTGTCATATAGTCCCTTGCCAATTGGGTTTAAGCAAATATGAATTTAGGAACCGAACTGGAGAAAAGAATAGCAGTGATAGAGAAGAGAGCTTATTCTTTGAATAATGGATTATTGAGGGTCCAGCTTTTTATTCCACACCATCTTGCACGTGCCTTCCCCCAGCTTCTCCCTATACCTGCTGCCTATTCTTTCTCCCTGATCTGTGCAGATTTCCTAAAGGAAAGATGTTTCAGGAACATTGAACATAAGAGCTGCATTATAACTTTACTAGGCCCTTTGCACTTTTGCCTTTGTAGGTTCCTTCCTCTATTTTAAAAAGAAAAGATGTTAAAAATTATATTTTATGGGGCCAGGCCTATAGCTCAGCTGTGCAGCACCTGCCTAGAAGCTCAAGGCCCTAAGTTAGATTCCTAGTACTAAAAAAGAAAAAAGACTTAAAAAAACCCTGTACTTTACAACTACATTGGTATAAGGAAGACTATAATATCAATATAATAACGTTTATAAGTAATAATTGATACAATATTTCACCTAAAAGTTTATTTTTCTTCTGATTTTAAAGGATATAAAATCATTAAAATGAAATCATTAAAAAAATTGTCATGAGCCCTTAGAAGTACTGTGGACCAGGCTGGGATTTGGCTCAGTGGTCCCACCGCCTTCCTCACAAGTGCAAGGGGATTCCGGTACCCAAAAAAAAGGACTGTGGACCCTAGGTACTGCTCCTAGTGCAGGAGTCAGGCCTGTTGGAGGCAGGCAGAGTGAACCTTGCCTCACAGCCACTGCACACCCCACCACCCAAAGCCCATCTCTTACACCTAATAATCGCACTAGCTGCTTCCCAGGTTGTCTCACCATGGACTTAGCGTTTCTCATCATACTTATTCCTTCCCACAACCCCTAATAGCAGGTTTTATTCTCATTTTCCTGAAGCAAAAGCTGAGGCTCAGGAAAGTTGAGAAATTGTCCCTAATTAAAAGAATTTCCAATAAGGGACAAGAAGAAATATGAGAAAAGGAAAAAATGGAAACAAAGTCTTTGTAAATAGGGAAGGGTGGAGGGTATGAAGGGAGGGCAGGGGTATGGGGAAAAAATGAGAACCAAGATCTGTGATGTAAAGGTACAAGATCCCAATGATGAATGTAACTGTACTGAAAAGAGAGAGAGAGAGAGAGAGAGAGAGAGAGAGAGAGAGAGAGAGAATGTAACTGTACTGAATACTTAAAAAGTACCAATAAACTCAATATGATTTTTTAAAAAATTTTTCCAGTTGGGCCTCATGTTTCACACCTGTAATCCCAGAATTGAGAGACTGAGGTATGAGGATTGCCATGTGAATTTGAGGCCAGCCTGGGCTACATAGTGAGTTCAAGGGCAGCCTGAACTACATAGCCAAGCTCTGGGCAGGATTTGTGCCATGTTCAACTTACTCCCAAGCCTATGTTTTTCCAGTCTTGGTGTATTGCTCCCTAGGTCTCACTGTGCCCCACTGTCTGGGACAGCACACATGAAAGGGAAGGAGAAAGGAGCAGAATTCTAGCGGGTATTTCCCCAGAAATGGGAGAGCTGCCCTTTGCTGGGAAAGTCTAGAGCAAATAAGTAGGTTGGCAGCCTTCGATGGCAGTGGATAAGAGGTTGAGCTCCACCTGGGAATAAGGGCCACAAAGAAACCAACCAGTAGTATCTGGGTCAACTAAAAGAAAGGTAAATGAGCAGAATAAATTGTGAAGGTCATTTGCTGTCAGTTAGGATTTGGGTGGAACCTTAGTATTGTGGTCCTCTGTGTTGACCTTCCACCCGCAATAAAAATGGTATAATCTTTCAAGACTTGAGGAGGGAAGATAGAGGGCCATATTATTTTTGCCTTATTTGGACAAGATGACCAGAAAGAACAGGGGTAGGAGCAGGAGATATGGGGGAAGTTGTAACCCTTTCTGTGTTCCCACCCCCACCTCTCTCTTTTTTTTTTTTTTTTTTTTTTAGTTCCTATGGATCAAACCCATTGCCTTGTACACTGAACTATTCCCTGAGCGCATTGCCTCCCTTTTCACACCAGGCTTCCTGAACTAGTTTACTTTCGTGGTGGTGTCAGTTTTTTCATTTAGGAAATAACACCTGTTTCTCCGGGTGTGGATGCACATTCCTCAAATTCCAGCATTCTGGAGGCTGAGGCGGGAGGATTGCCATGAGTTCAAAGCTAGCCTGGGCTGCTTAATGAGACTGTCTCAAAAAGAAAAAAAATAATAATGCATGCCTCTTAGGGATTAACTTTTTTATGTACATATAAACATAGATGCCTGTTTATGGATCTTTTTTTTTTTAAGGAAAATATTTTTTTCTTTTTATTGAGTTTATTGGTACATTCTAGGTATACAGTACAGTTACATTCATTACTGGGATCTTGTACCTTTACATGACAGGTTGTTTATGGATCTTTTACAAAGATATAACTATATTATACATGTCATGGCAATTTGCTTTTTTCATGGAATAATATACATAAATCTATCCCAGTAATACTGCAAATCTACCACTTTCTTTTGGTGTTGGGTTTGGGTAGGGTTTGGGTCTTGCTTAGTTGCCCAGGCTGGCCTCCACCTCCAGCTTCTTCTGCCTCAGCCTCTATAGCCTGGCTTCAGCTACTCATTCTGAGTTGGGATTTTCTCTCCCATAGCCAGTGAGCAGTGTGTCCAGTTTTTCCTCTTCCTTCTATTAAAGAGACATCTACCTTCTCCCTCCAGTTTCTGTGTTTAGTCTTGTACAGGTATCTTTAGGCCTTTTAGAAGTCAAAATTCAAGTTGTAAGCTTGCCCTGTATCTTCTCTCTGGGCTTTTCCTTGTAAGCTTTCCTTACTTGACCTGTCTGCCTGTTGATCTCAAATTTGTGGCTCCCAGATGAACTCAGCAGTCCAGGAGTGGTGCAAACCAGGGTCTACTGTTGCTGCCCTTACTAGAGGCCATGTACCTTACGTAACCGCAGATTTGCAGTTTTTATGAATAAGATAATTCCTTATCACTATAAGAAATTTGGAAGATGAAAACATATAGAAAATTAATGTCATTCAAAATTCTACAATGTAGTAGTAATCTAGTGGTAAATGTTGCCACTTTGGAATAGATTATTTCAGTGTTAATCGCTCTCTTGGTTCCCCCATAAATCTCTTATATATTCGTGTTGCTGCTGTTTTAGACAGGGTCTCTGTGTATGGTCCATGCTAGCCTTAAACTCCCTAGCCCAAGCTGGCCTCGAACTTTCGGCGATCCTCCCATCCTCCTGCCTCAGCTTCCCAAGTGCTGGGATTATAGACATACACCACCATGCCCCACTGTTTTTTGTTGTTTTTGCTGTGTTTTGAAACAGGATCTTGCTGTCTAGTTGAGGCCTGCCTCGCTGTATCTTAGGCTAGTCTTGAACTCACTGTAGCTTAGGCTGGTCTTGAACATGCAGTGGTCCTCCTGCCTCAGCTTCCTACATGCTGGGATTACAGGTGTAGGCAACCATGCCCAGCATCTTTTATATATTCTGCTGTTAAACCATAGCTTTATCATTCTTTATTTGCAAATAGTTGGCTTCCTGGACCTAAGAGCAAGGAATTTGTTGTTACCATGTTCCATTTGACCCATTTCTCTAATCATTTGAAATTTGTCTCTATGAAGCAGTTTACTAGTTGCCCCTAGAGCTTTGAATTCTTTCAACAAATATGTGGAAACTCCCAAAGATCTACATTTACCCAAAGGGCACTAAGCCTTCCACACTAAGCCATGCAGAAAGCCTCAATAAATTGGAGCACACAAACACACACAGAAAAATCTTGCAAAGAATCTGGTATTCAATATTGAAAAAAAGAAAAAGCACCGGGCCTGGTGGCGCACACCTGTAATCCCAGCACTCGGAGGCTGAGGCAGAAGTATCGCTGCGAGTTCAAGACCAGCCTGAGCTACACAGTGAGTTCCAGAACAATCTGAACTACATAGTGAAACCCTGTCTCAAAAAACCAAAAAAAAGAAAGAAAGAAAAAAACAAAGAAAAAGCTATATCACTATTACAAGGAAAAAAAAATTTCTTTTGTGTTGGGCTGTCTTATACCTTTTTATACTTGTTTGGTGATATAATAATATTACCTAGAATTACAAAGTTCTTAATTTGGCGCTGGAACTGTTTGGCATAGCCAAATCAATTTAAAAACAACTAAGATCAAATCTCAGCAGAAGAACCTCTGTCTAGACTAGCACCACTCCGTTCTTTGACAGCCAGCTTTTACCGCCCCACTTAGTCCTTATGTCTCCCTTGTCCGCAAGGATATTATAAACAGTCTTACCAAATTTTTGTGACTCCACAGCTGGGGATTTAGCTCTGTGGTGCTGCCACCTGCCTCGCAAGAGAGTTTGATCCCTGGTACCAAAACAAAAAAAAAGGAAGAAGAAGAAGAAGACCTGTCAAATTTTGTGACTGTTCTTGAAGCATCTTCAACCCTCGAGCCTCCCAGCCCGCATCCTCACTGCCAAGGGATGAACTGGCATCCTCCCCCACTCCCACTGGAGATGGAACCCAGGCCCCTTCTTGACAGTGCTGGCCGAGGCCTCCACCACTGAGACATCCTCAGCCCACATTCTGTTTTCTTGGGCAAATTTAAACTCCCAGAAGAGAACTACCGAAGGCTCCACGTCACCTTTTCCCTGCCCCCGGCGTGTGTGCCTGTGGAGTCTGCTATTCCTGTTATTACGGTAAATCGACTCCTGTGTTTATGAGCCCAGTCCCATCCCTTCAAGGACATGATTGCAGCCCCTCTCCCCCTCAGGCGTTATCACTTTCTCTCTCACCTGAGTTACTCCTTTTCATACATAACATCCTAGCACTTCTCCCACCCTAAAAACAAAGACACATCAAACTGCCATCCTCTAGCACATTCCCATTTCTCTGCTTACCTTTACCAAAAAACTTTCTGTGGAGTTTATTTATATTTGGCCTCTAGTTCCCCTCCCGTCTCTTTCTTGAATCCACCCTAAACCACAGTTTTATATTCAGCACTTCCCCAGAATTTCTTTTGTAGAGGTCATTCATAACTTCTGTGTGAGGAAATCCAGTGAATGGTACTTATACTCCATCTGGCTGCTATTCCTTGGGCTCAGTCCTTGGCCCTCTTTATCTGCTCTTACTGCCTGGTGGCTTTAAACATGCTTTTAATTTCACTGGTACAGTTTAAACATACATAACGATCACATTCATCAAAGGGAATTTGTACCTGTATATGGTATAATGTTTTTTGTTTTGTTTTGTTTTTTGAGACTGGGTCTCACTGTGTAGTTGAGTCTGACCTGGAACTCACTATGTAGTCCAGGCTGGTCTCGAACTCACAACAATCCTCCTGCCTCAGCCTCCTGATTGCTGGGGTTACAGGTGTGTGCCACCACGCCGGGCTCGGCTATATGGTATATCTTGATTCCTCTTTTTCCTGAGGACTTTTTAAAAATCTAATCAGACCTCTTCCCACAGTTGTGGCTTACAGGGCTGCACCTTGATATCTGATAAACAATCAGGCTCCTCCCAGATAAATTGGTTCTTCCTGCAGGTTTTCCCATCTCAGACAACAACCAGTCTGCCCTCCCTCCCCTTACTCTGGCCACAATTTTGAGACTAACCTTGACTCCACCCTACAATCAATCCTGTCAGTCCTGGCTTCAGAATAGATCCAGATTCCTATCACTGTCTCATTGGGCTGCTGGTAGACCCTAATTGGGCTGCCAATTAGAAAAAGGTGCCCCCTTTGGTTGTGCCAAGTACAAGCTGCTTCTACCCTGGTCCCCATTGTCCCTCATCCTGTAGTCCACACTACAATGTGTGTGTGGTGGGGTGGGGGGTCCTTTAAATCTATCTCTGTTTCATTGAAAGTTGCTACATAACAAGCCACCCCAAAACTTGGTGGCTTAAAACAAAAATAGTTTGGCTGGGGGAAAGCACAATGCTAGAGCATTTTCCTCATATGCATAAGACCCTGGGTGCAATCCGCAGCCCTGCAGAAACAAAACAAAAACCCCAGTTGACCATCTCTGACAGTTCTGTGGGTTGGCTGGCATTCCCCTGGGACTTCACCTGCATTCACCCATGCAGCTGCAATCTGTTGAAAGTCCAAATGACCCCCTTCATCTGGCTGACAGTTGGTACTGGTTGTGAGCTGAGTGAGGGTGCTCAGGGCCTGGTAGTCTCTGGTTGTCTCTGGTTTAAAGTGTGGCTTTTGGAACTTCAGGCCCCACTGAGACCTTTACATGACAGATCTTGGTTCTCATTTTTTTCCCATATCTCTGACCTCCCTTCACCCACTCCACCCTTCCCTATTTACAAATGCCTTATTTCAATTTTTTCATTTTCTCATGTTTTTTCCTTCCCTTATTACCTTTCCCCTACCCTTCCCACTTCCCCTACACCTTTAGCCCTTTCCTATTTCACATTATCAATTATGCAATTTGAATCTTATTTACACTTTTAGTTTTTTACACCAGAGAAACTATTTGGCATTTACACATGTGTGTCCCATTTATTTCACTTGAGCATGGCCCTCAATATGCATCCATTTTCCTATAAATGACTCTAGTTTCTCATTCTTTGTGGCTCAGTAGTACTCTCTTCTATAGAAAGACCACATCTTTTTTATCTAGTCTCCAATTAATGGGCAATTAGGCTGTTTTAAGGAGCATTGATTTACAATTCAAATCTAGTCAGTTTCTCCTGTGAAATCTTCCTTTTTCACTCACTGACAAAGCAGAAATCCTTGCTGTGGCCTACAGTACCCATGTTCTATGGCTTCCTTAACTTCATCTGTTCCTTCTCTCCCCCTGTACCCTCCACAGGGGCCCCATGCTGTGCCTTTAGCATGCCCAGCCTGTACCAGCCCTACCTTGAACTTGCTGTTTGTCCCTTCTGCCTGGAGCGTTCTCCTAGGCTTTGTAGGGTTGCCTCCCTCTCCTTCTGTAGGTCCTTATTTCAAGTCTCCTCCTCAGTAAAGCTTTCACCAAAGATCTTACTTAAAATTGCCACCCTGTCCACATCCCAACTTCTTATCCCCTTTCCTATTGTTTTTCCACATCTAATAGTGTTTCTTATTTTGTGTATTTTCTGATTCCTCCCTCTAAGGATGTAAATTGTATGGAGAGCGTTTTTTTTGTTTGTTTTCTAATTGTCTAAAAGACTGTTCATGCTAGGGATTTAGCTCAGTGATGCCAACGCCTGCTTCGCAAGCAAGCACAAGGTCCAGAGTTTGATCTCTGGTACCTAAATAAATAAATAAAAGACTGCTCATTGTTTTTTTTTTTTTTTTTTTTTTTTTTTGAGACAGGTCTTGCTAAGTCTCTAAGTGTCCAGGTTAGACTGGAACGTTTGATCCTTCTGCTGGGATTATAGAGGTGTGCCACCATGCCCAGCTCACCTTTTATTTTTAGTATTGTACATTGTCATAGTGTCACCAGGTCTGGACTCTCCTCCTGGACGTGGTTTCTAGGTTCTTTCTGTCCTGAGCAAAGAACTGGTCAAGACAAGCACAAACAGTAGTAAAGTTTTGTTAAAGGTAGGAATAGAAACTGGCTTTCCAGAGCAAGTTTGGGTCAAGTAAAAGTAGGGAAAGAAACACACCCTGCAGTGTGATGGCAGCCACAAAGCAAGAGTGAATATAATTGCAAAAACTCAATGTGGACCGTCCTTTTTATATCATCCATGCCTCGGGTTGATATCAGGTCTAGGCCATCCTATGGAAATCCTGCTCAAGTTCTCATAAGAAGTCACATGTAGGGCTTTGGGAACTGTTACGTGCCTGTGCTCCAGGATCTTGTCACACCTCCTTTTCCACCCAGTTTATCTCATTAATATGTTTTTGGGGGTTTTTTTGGTACCGGGGATCGAACTTGGGTCCTTGCGCTTGCGAGGCAGGCCACCCAACCACTGAGCTAAATCCCTGGCCCTATCTCATTAATATGAATAGAACTGCTTTTCTGCTAGAGCTCTCTTTTATTTATTTATTTATTTACTTAGTTATTTTTTGAGACAGGACCTTGCTATATAGTTCAAACTAGCCTTAAACTCACTATGTAGCCAAGGCTGACCTTGAATTTAGTGATTGTCCTGTCTCAGCCTCCCAAGTGCTGGATTATAGCAGGTGCCACTACACCTGGCTAACGAGCTTTTTTTAACAAAAGCAAAATAAGCAAAGTATTAGATGTTAAAATACAACATAAATATATAAAAAGCAGACATACTAATTCTAGTCACAAATGGGATGTTATATTTTTTTATAATCCACAATTATGTTTAGGAAATCATACAAATATAGATCACTGATTTAAATGAAGTTAGCGAATGAATTTGTAGCAAAGCTTTGTAGTTACAAAAAATACCAAAGAATACATAAAATGAATGTTTACTCAATGTTTATGTCATATTCCTGGATCCTTCACCAATGTTATATGGGGGTGGGGGAGCAAAACAAATTAAAAACTGAAAGCAGAATCACTGATGTTATCAAGTAAGGAAACAAATTAAAATGAAGCAGCCAATAGCAAGAGTATAGGAAAGGGCCCAGGATTTGGCTCAGTGGTTCCACCACTTTCCTCAGAAGCTCAAGGTCCTGAGTTCAATCCCCAGTACAAAAAAATAGAGCATAGCAAAGCTAATGCTGCAAAAAGAAACAAAAAAAATTGCTATGTAACTATGTATTTTGGGCCAGGGAGGCACCATACCTGCCTCACAAGCGCAAGGTCCTAAATTCGATCCCTGATAGAAAAAAAAAAAACCAAAAAAAAAACTATTCATCTTACTCTTTCAAGCCAGAAAATTATGCTTCTAAATACAGTGGGAACCAAAACAATTTTTTCCTGTTAACAGAAATAGTTCCTTTTGAATATTATGGATAGGTAAAATGTGATTGCAATCATAGTTCTACTAAGCTCTTACAGAGTAGGACAGGAAAACACTTAGGAATTGTGGGTGTACTGTAATTCTTAGATTGGCATAGATGACCCTAGCAAAAACTAACAACAAAGTGAACACAAAGGCAAACGCATATCTTAGCAACACTTAGAAGCAAATGTAAATGCAATCCTCTTTACTTTTAAGAGTCACTGGTTTGGCGAGAGAGAGAGAGAGAGAGAGAGAGAGAGAGAGAGAGAGAGAGAGAGATAAAGAGAGAGAGAGAAGGAGGGAGGGAGGGAGGGAGGGAGGGAATGTTTGGTGAGAATAACTCAGAAGGTGTCTTCTTTAACAACAAACTTGTTTTTACGGGTAGAGCTGATCTGAGTAGCTGTGTTTGCTTGAGACTGATAACTAATCACTGTCTTTGGAGGAAATTCTAACCTTTGCTTCTATACTCTCCTTACATGTGAAACAGCCTCCCCTTTTAGCTCTAACATTAACAGCAGCTCCACGTACATCATCACTGTAGTCTCCCCAAGATTCTCCAATAAGCCATAGCAATGTCTACCAAAAGCAGTAAGGTCACTTCCTCTCTCTCTCTTTGTTCAATGAGATTTGCATTTGTTTTTCTCATCTTGCTACGTGGGCTCAATACCATCCTGAAAAGGTACATAGGTTCATCTAGGCATTAAATTACTAAGCAACTGGATACAGTTATATAGAGTCCAAAAGTAAAAGATTTGATTGCCAAGCTTTACTTTTTTTATTTTTGGTACCAGGGATCAAACTCAGTACCTTGCTCTTCCTTTTTTTTTTTTTTTTTTTTTTT